CTTCATCGCCCTCAAAGCAGCCCACAGCGTCCACCGTGATGAAGTGGTCCTCATCTTGACCGGCGATCTCCTTCTCAAGCATCTTCAGCTGCCCAGGAGAGTGGGCCAGGGCTCAGGTCAGCTCTGGGCAGCCTAAGCGCCACACCCCACCCACCCCACAACTCTGAGCGTCCCAATCCCTCCAGACCTGGTATGAGTTCAGGCTGGGAAAAACCTCAACTTGCTGTGTGGCCCTGGCCAAGGCTCTGTACCTCTCTGGGCCCATGTCCTGTGAGGGAGCTGGGGTTACCTCCTTGGCTTTGTCCTTATGCCCCTGGGACTTCACATGCTCCACAAACTTGCGGGGGGTCTTGAAATAGCGGTTGCAAACAGTGCAGAAAGGTCGCAGGGATTGCTTGGCAATCTGGGGAAAGGAGGGCAGGCCGAGTGGGTGGCAGGCAGTGTCCCCGGGTGCAGCCAGGCTGTGCCCAGTGAGATCTCATCTCCCACCCGCAGACTACCACATCTGTAACCAGCTGGCTGTGCCCCGCCCCTTTACCAGAACATGGGCAAACATATCCACTCCCTGTGCTGTTGGCTACAAGACGGGATGGCAGATGGCAACAGGACAGAGAGAAGACGAGCTGGGGAGAGAGAGTAGCCGCCAAGAGGACCCCACCAGCCCCGTGGCTGAATGACAGGACGAGACGGTGCTTCACCCACTTGGAAAAATGGAGAAACTGAAGCCCAAAGAGGAAACATCGAGAAGCCACGCTGCTGAGTTATGACCATCCAGAGATAAAGAGTGCAATTGTCTTTCCGTCCCCAACCTCGGCTCCCTCCTTCCCAACCCTGGGCTTGGAGATAGATGTGTGGGTACCTTCGCGGCACACAGGCCCTCATACCTTGTGGTCCTGAGTCCTGCGGTGCTGAATCAGGTCCCCCATGTAGTAGACCTGGCAGGTGTTACACCAACGCCTCGGCGGGGGCTCTCTGAGTGACGGCAACCAAAACAAGTATATACAGTGGGATGCCGTCCTTGTTGGAAAGACAGCCGCTCTCCCAAGATGCTCCCCATAAATGTAATGCAGTTCCAACAGGAGCTTTTTTAGAAACTTATCAACGGTTCTGAGATTCATCTGGAAGAATCCTTAAACAAGAATAATAACCAAGGAGGAAGGAGAGGCAGCCAGTCTGAAGGACTGGCCTCAGGGGGCCAGGTCAGGATTCAAGGGGAGACGTCATCAGGAGACAGTTCAGTGAATCTCCCGCACCTAAAGCCTGTTAACAGACGGGCCACATCCTTCTGCTTTTCTTGTGTCACGAGATCCCAAGCTCATTCTGCACGTGGCAGTTTTGAACCTGTTCTAACCTGATGTTGCATCATACCTGCTTCCTCGTTCTCATGAATTCCCTGCCGTTGTCCTGTTTATTAGAAGCACTCCACCAAGTGCACAAGCCTGATCTAACTAATCCCGCAGGTTTTGATACTCTAGAAAGTTTCCAATTAAAATCTGTCACCATTACATTACTCTGCAAGGAACATCTTTGTGAGTCATCTTTCTCCTGTATTTATGATTATTTCACCTAAGTATAATTCCTAGGTCCACAAGCAGGGGGAGGTTTAAAGGTCGAGAACATACTGCACAACCACGTAGGGAAGTTCTTCTCAAAGAAGCACCTAACAGAGACACCGCTGCCTCTGGAGAGAGGGTTCCGTCACCCAGAGCGTGCGGACAGGGAGCTCCAAGCTGTGACCCTCTGTAAGCGCTCAAGGCTGAGTCCCCAACCACTGCCTCGGGGACTGTCCAGCCTGTGAAGGAGTTTGGTTCGGCCTCCATAGGCTTTGTTTCATCTTGATTCTGAGCTAGCTGCTAACATTTTGAAATTGGGAGATTTCACATACAAAGCTGGGTTTCTAGATTCTCTGGAACAATTAGGAGACCTGGAGCTGTGGGGCAGCTGTTCTGTGACAGAGCCCATGTCCCCCAGCATGGCCTGAGGCAGTGCCTACCTGCTTTCCCCCCCCGCCCCCCCCAGCCCCCCAGCAGGCCTCCATGACTGCCCACAGGGTGTTGAAAGGTCTTGTACCTTCCACCAGGCCTTCTTAGCCCAAGTGCTAGTTTTGGACTCCAGGAGGGCACATATTTTGGGTCAGTGAAGCCCCTATGGCAATGAAAAAGGGGTGGCACAGTGTAGCTGTAACCTCAGGCCACAAGGTGACGATCCTCACCATTGTGTGTCCCCACCCCACCCCCCCACCCCCAGCTGGGGTCAGCACATATGCCGGAGAAGCAGGGCTCTGTGCCACAACCCACTTCCTTCCCATGTGGGTGGTCCCACTGTTCCTGCCTGGATGGAGCCTTAAGAGACCATCTAGTTCATGAATTCTTACACTGCATCCTTCACCAGGCCATTTTACAGATGAGGAAAACTGAGGCCCGAGGCTAAACCATTAATGGTGCGGAGAGGCCTCTGGCAGAGGGCAATGCTTAACCCAAAGGCGGACCTTGAAGATGGCAGACTCAGGGCCCTTCCCAGCCGCGCCTGGCCTGCAAGACTGTCTACCCCCCAGTACAGAGCCTCCGAGATCCCCCCACTCACTCGTCCTCTCTCTCCAGGACATCCCGGGGCACGGGCAGCAGGGACAGGAGGCAGGCTTGGCTCATGTGCTGGATCTCCCCCAGACGCTGCTGGTGCTGGGCCCCCGCCATGTGGTCCTGGAACTCCTGTAGCCAGCAGAGCGAAGGATGGGCCTGAAGAACGAGCCCCGGAACAGCGGGCAAGGGTGGAGGAGGAGGCCTCCAACCTCGGCTTCGTGGCCACCCCGCCGCTGCCGAAGCTGTCTCTCTTACAGCAGCCCCGTGGGGGCCACAGAAGGATGGTGAACTGAGACACCAAGTGGGCACAGAGCAGCCGGAGCTTCTGCTCCTTCCGGAGACTGTGTGGGCCCCTCAAAGGTAGGGAGCAGTCCGATTAACCTCCGGATCCCATGGCTCTGCTCCGGATGACAGAGGTAGCAATAGCAAGGGTAATAATAATTATTAGTACGAGCCTAAGGCTGTTATTAACGTGCTGCTCGCTCCAGGGGGCGCTTGGGGCTCGTGGTCTCAATGTCAGGTCACTGAATCCTTGGAACCTCCGGGTGAGGTGGGTTCTAAGCGTTTCTTCATCTGATGCATGAGGAAATGGGAGTCATAAAGAGGAGAATTCACCTTCTGAGGTCTACGCGGCTAGTCAGGGCTGATTTATACCCGGTCTGCCGGACTCTAAATTCCTAACTTCTTGGCTGGTCAGGAACTGTTTTCAGGGCAAACGCACAGCTGCCCTGGATGGTGCTCACGGGGCCCTTGTGGCCACTCAGGTGCCTCAGGGAGGCCTGGGCCTCCGCCAGAGACACCCTCCACTCTGCCCACCGGCCCTCCCCCCCGTACCGGGGCCTGGCTGGCAGGTACCTGCTGGCTGCTGCAGCTGGCCTTGCAAAGGTAGCAGAAGAACTGGAGGGTCTGCTTCGAGGGTGTGCTGGCGGAGGCAGGGGTGGCGGAGGTAGAGTCACCCGCGCGCGGCACGGGCGTGAGGGGGACTGTGCTGAAGGCCCGGCTGTCACTGCTCTGCAGGATGGTGACCTTCAGGGAGCCCCCGGCACCCCACACCTGCACCGGGAACAGGGGCAGAGCTACCACCAGCTGGGCACCTACGGTGGGCCAGGCCCTGTGCTAAACACCCGCGAGCAGGGTCTTACTGGGCCCTCCTGACAGCCCGCTTCACAGATGGGGACACTGAGGCACTGAGCTGGCAGGTGACTGCCCAGGCTCACAGAGCTAGGGAGTACTACAGCCGGGACTCAAACCCAAGCCCACCCAACCGTGAAGTCCACCCCACCCCACCCTCACGTGGAGACATGGAGATACCAGGAAGGGAATGGGTTTGGCCACGATCACACCAGGAGGTAGAGCTGGGACCCAGACGGCATGCATAGGCCTGCCCTCTGTGTTCTCTCTACTAGAGCAGTGCTCCCCTGTCAGGGACCAAGGGCTCTATTCCAGGGATGAACAGGTTGGAAGGGACTTGTCACCAAAAGTACCTCTAGTTCTTCAGAGCAAAGGCATGTGAAGGCAGCACACCACACAGGAGCTTGACGACCCTCCATCAAACCCACGGCCCCGGCAGAGGGCGGCTGTCACCTTTCACGGGTGGGGAAACACAAGGGGTCCTCCCGCCGCCGGGCCCCGCGGTAAGCACACGGCCACGGTAGCATATCTACCCACCCCTAGCATCTCTCTTGCCCTTTTTTCACATTCTCCCACATCCAGACCGCTGGTCAACTCCTCCTGGCTCTCCACGCTGACCTGGGAGCCTCCTGGCTCTGGCGAGGCCTCCTTCAGGCCTGAAATGACAGAGGGGTCCATCTCCCACCCAGGCCCAAAGCGATCCGGGCCTGAGAGCCACCGTTTCTACCCACAGCCAGGACCTTGAAGCCTCTGGTGGAGACAATGGCAGGGGAAGGGCAAAGGGTCCAGGCCGAACTGTCCCATCACGGGGCAACTGGGAGCCAGTGCTCACTTACCTGCTCCGGCGTCTCTCGGATCTGGTGGTGTCTCCGGCACCGTGGAACGAACCGGAACCGGTGCTTGCTCCGACGCTGGCATGGACACCTGCGGCCAGGTCTGAGGCTGCCCCTCAATCCGGTCAGGGGGCTGCACGGGAGGCTGTCCTGGTGGCTGCTCTGGTGGCTGGACCTGAGGATATGTCT